CACATGAACGCGTGCTCACGCGTCGTCTATCTCTAATTGATGGGACAGGAGGGCGCACGGACGGTCGGTAGGGCGACACTGGGGCCACTGGCAAGGTATCAGCACGTGCAAGGGGCTTGGGAGGTTTGATACCTCCCTGGCCCGATATCCCAGAGGTTTACATACCTCGTTGTAGGCTACTCTGCATTCCTGCGTTGGAATGATATATATGGAGATATACTAGAGCGAAAAATGGGTCAACCAAATGTTTTAGATGTCTGCGTAGATTCATGAAGTGAAGATTAAACATCCGACTGTGAGGCGGGCATGCTGACGTGGTTGTTCGGACTACAGCCACCATACCATTGGGCTATCATCGCAAAGGCAATCGAACCTCGGACGGGTGGATTACCAGGGTTTGCGTCAATGTTGAGGCTCGGACTCGTTTCCAGTACAGCGATTCGTTACAGCCAGCTATTCATACGTAATAGTGTATTTGAATGTACGACCAACTTCTCACATAAGGAGGCACCAGCCACCGTCTTGACGACCACGGTTCGCTTCCTGAGCCTGCGCACCAGTCGCAGCAAGACGTCTTCGTCTTTCCTCCTGCTGCTCCCTGGAAACACGATCGAGCTCTCGTTGGCGAGCCTCTTGCTGCCGTCGAGCTTCCTCTTGACGGTGAGCCCGTTCCTCCTGTTGGCGAACCCGATCTTCACGAAGTATGTCATGCTCCCAGCCACGAAACTGGTTTTGACGCTCACGCTCCTGTCGTTGGAGCCGAAGTCTCTCCGCCTGTCGGAGAACTTCGTACTGCTCATTCATATCAACATTGGCCAAAGCGGGTGGGGCGTTCTCAACTGCATTCTCATGAATACCTCCATGTACTTCTTGCAGGTGGGCATAAGTGCTGCGGCCATCGTCAAAGGCGCGCATGCACACCCAGCAAAGATGAGCGCCGCATCTAGAAACGAGTACAGTAAGTGGGAAGATTGGAAGCTCAGATAAGCGACGTACCGACACTCCATATGATTACAGCCTTCAGTCTTTTGTATGGGTGTACCTAATAGATAACGAGTGGGTCAAGCTTTGATTCCGACGAGAGTGGTCCCAAGGAAAACACATACTGCATGAAGGGCACTTCTTGAAACCTTGTTCGCGCATCCACTCGTCGTCGAGGTTCCAGCTAGCGACCCGTTTTGGCTCCTCACATGTAGGACCCCTATGAACGTCCTCCCCACACCCAGAGCACACCTCCGAGAAGCACGAAGGACACTGCAATGCGTTCGATGCTGTCCCTTCCGCCGTAGCCCGGTAGATCTGGATACAGTCTGGAGTCTTGCAGTGCTTGATCTCAGCGGGATGTTTCTCAATGTATGACTCGACAGCACTCTCGAGGAGGTCGAGGAACTTGTTCGGCGGGAGGAAGGCCTGGATAGTCGGCAACGCGATTGGGCGCCCACACCGCCCCTCGTCGGCCATGCAGGCGAGCGGGAACCGGTCGCCGCCCTCGACAGCGGAAGTGAGGAAATGGCGGAGGCACGCAGAGCAGTACGAGTGCCCGCAGCCCAGACGGTACGCCGCCGAGACATCGTCGAAGCAAATTGGACACTGGAGCTCGCCGTCCTCAGCAATGCTGACCCCACCACGCAGGGACTCTTCGATGAGACGGGAGAGGTGGTGACGAGCTTCCTCTCCCCCACTGATGGTGATCCGGCGGGCCCACGGGTGGAAGGTGACGGCGTCCTCCCCGATCAGCTCCTTCAAAGTCGCGATGCCCTGGCGTACGAAGAACGCGACCGAAACCTCTTTCAAGGTGACAGTGAAATCGAGCCCCTCGAGACGCTCCAACTCTGCCTTGACCATCTCCCTAGCTCGTTCCACGGCACGAGGTTCTCCGTAGACACGAAGGACCTGTCTCCTCCAGTCGCTACGCAGATATGCGCCAGTCTCGTCGAGGACACGCCTCGGGAATGGATTGTTGAAGAAGCCTAGGGACCGATGCCAGCCGACGAGCGGTTCACCCCTGGCGAGGTTCTCCACCCGGACCTTGAGCGTCCCAACGGCTTGCTTCGCGTTCCCGGAGAGGCGGACCCTGACCACGTTGCCGTCCGGCTTGACAGAGAGGACACACGCCTTTCGGTCTGTTTCTGAGTTGACGAGAGCGTCCCAGAGCGCCCGTTGGGCACCGTACTGCTCTTTCGGTAGAATGAGGTTGAAGCACATCGGCTCGGGGAGGCGGAGCCAGAGGGCGATAGGAGAGATCGCGGGGAAGATGCGCCCGGAGAGCCCTTCGTACACGACGCGAGCTTCTTCGGGAGAGGTGAAACGGATGCGGTACGAGACGATTCTATCTACGTCCTTCCCGCGTTCGCGAGTCGACTGTTCATGAAGAACGACGTTGTGTGGGCTGACTCGTTCGATCTCGCGCAACAGCTGCTGGAACGCGAGCTCGGGAGGCAAGCAAATGCTCCTGCCCTTCTGAAGTAGGGGCCTGACACGGGATGCCTGAGTGAAGAGCCGGACGTCGTCCTCGGTGATCGACGTCGGGAAGTTGTATATTTTGATGGAATTGGGGTTGAAGCCCTTGATGGTGCGTCCAGGGGGCAGTGTGTTCATCTCGACGTGCAAGCGACGCTCAGCATAGATCTTCCGATCCAGTTCACGGGCCCTCTCCTGTGCCCGAGCATAGTCGTCGTACTCAGCAATGTAGCGGATGGAAGGCGCTCTCCAAGAGACGGTGAGAACGTCGTCATCGCGGACGGACGACGCACCCATCCCCCCAGGAACATTGTACGCGCCGATCTGGAGCTCGATCCTCTCGCCTTTGAACTCGATCCCGTCGGGTCCACAGGAGAGAAGATCGGCAAGATCAGCAGCAGTCACAACGTCCGCTTCTTTCTTCCCGTCCTGCGCCATCTTCACGCCGACGAGCTGGAATCGCGCGGGGTCGATCCCCTGCTGCGTAATGAACTCGGTGACTTCGTCCTCTCGAGTGTCTGCGGGGAGGTTCTTGATCTTGACCGCGCAGCACTCGAAGCCGGTGAGGACGGCGCGGACCTCGAGCCCAGCGGCGAAGGTGACGATCGAGCCAAGGATGACGCGCTGCAGTGTCACCGCCGCCTCCTCCGTCGCGCGGGCCTGGAAGCGTTCCTCGGCCGCGGCCGCCTCCAACTCACGGCGGCGGGCAGCGTCTTCCTCAGCGAGCCGAGCTCGGTGAGCGCGTTCGCGCTCGAGACGCTCCTCCACCTCGGCGCGGCGGCGCGCTTCCTCTTCCTCGGCGAGCTGAGCTGTGTACGCCCGTTCTCTCTCCTTACGAGCGAGCTCTTCCTGTGTGATACGGCCGCTTTCCTGCGCGAGCCGAGCCTGTTCTTGATGTGCATGCTGCAATTGCCCGCGGACGGCGATCGACCCGTTCAGAACACGTTCCATCCTAACCACGACCTGGTCCTGTGGGTCGGCAGAGGCCGCCTCCCGGGCACGTTCACTTTCAACACGTGCGTTCTCGAGAGCGCGACGGAGGCCTGCTTCTTGCGCAAGCATCGCTTGACGGACACGCTCCTCTTCAAGGACCTCACGGATCTGGATTATGAAGGGGATGATATGTAAGCCGCGATCCCGACGTGGTCAGTGGAAACAAGACACGACACGACACGACGTACCGCAGGGTCATGCGCGTACCCGCACTCCTCGCCTCTCGGGCACACGCCGGTCTTCTCCCACGCGAAGCAAGGACGGGCGCCTCGCTTGAACTTCGGTTTGTTCGCCTCGGGTCCTGGTCTCGGCGAGACTGAAGGCGGAGCTACGTTCTGCGCAGGGACGCCGGATGTATCATATCGGTAGGTCGGTCGTGTCAGAGGATGAGGAGGCGAGAACGTGGAGACGCGACATACCTGCGATGGGCGTTCGTGACTGAACCGGCACTTCGCGCCGAATTTGCACCTGCTCTGAAGGTAGAAACTACATGTCTGGACTGGGATGGGGACTGGGCCGGTAGCTCTGGTCGTAGATGTCGATGACGCAGACATGGCGTTGGTAGTAGCCATGGTGGTGGTGGTGGTGGTGGTGGTGGTGGGGAGAGGGCAAGCCTGGTGGACGAGGTGAGGTCGAGGGCCGCTAGGGTATTAGGGTTCAAGAATACGTTTCGAAGCCTGAGGCCAATGAGGACGTACGGAAGCTTCCTAAACGGGTACGAGAGAGAATCCCTGACGCTGTTATCTAAGTTCGGCGTGACATCGATTCATCTGTACGCGTTTAGACATCAGGGGGAGACGCGTGGACGGCAGGATAGCTTCATGTCGGTGCGGGGGTGAGAGGGGGTGAGAGAGGATGGCAGAAGGGACAAACTATCGAGGTCGCTATACTCGTTCTGTAATGGTGTCAGCAGCGTCAGACGTGGGGGAAAAGATGAGTATGGGTGTTGGAAGGAAAGGAGAGGGGAACATAGGGTACTGACTCGTGCCTCAGCCATTCCCGCTCCGGTCGCGGATCTGTCGAAGACGGTAATCGCACTCATCGCTCGAGGGTGGGGTGCAGCTGGAGGATACATGGAATTGCATCTGCCGGGCACTGCTTCACTTACGAGCGGCCGCGCGTCCCCGACGTAGATGGCGTCCTCATCCACTGAGAATCTGCGTGAGCCTCGTGTCATTGAAGACAGTGCCGTCCAATGTCATTCCCGTTCGACGCGCTTCCTTTTTGCTCTTCGCAAACCAGAATAGACATACCAGGTTTTCATCATCACTAGTCTCACTCACTTCGTACTCGTGCATCGACGGGAGGCAACTTTTCCAGAAGAAAATCACCTTGCTAGGCGGAGAACGTGCAGCTCAGGTATGCCGTTGTATCATCGTTTCAGATATTCCAGATCTTACGTGACTTTGCTTGTGAGAGAGAACGAACCGTTAGGCGGTGAGTAGCTCCCCGGCTGCAGCCGAGGATGCGCCAGGGGCAGGGTTTGCAGTAAACGAGTTCTGCACTCCGCGATGTCGCCAGATGCTGGAGAGCGGAGATACGGAGTAGTGCTTGGGGGGGTGAAGCGTGTAAGCTCTTGAAATTTGAGGATGGCTGGCCGAGGCGGGGAACTGGACGGGGAAGAGAGGACGTCGAGTATGCCAGCACGACTCGGAGACATTTGCTATATCAATAGTGAGTCCAAAAAGAGCCTAGTTTTTCCATGAAGAGCAGGAAACAGGATAAATAGCAAGGTGGAGGACATGGCCGCCATATGCAGGACATGGAAGTGTTGCTCGGACGCAGCGAGTCGGCTACAGGTTTGTCTGAGATTACGTCAGCCGGTACAGAGACTGATCGCTACACCGCACAGAACTGCATCGACTTCGCATTTGTCTCTCGCCTCGTCCAGTCGATGCTCTTGCAGTGGGGATAGGCAGCGCCCGCTAGCCGATTGTAGCGCCCGCGTCACGCGCTACTTCTCTTCTCTCCCTTCGTACCTGATCGACTCCGTGCTTCGGGATTGTCTCTCCTCGATCTCTCAGCTTCTCTTATCTCACTCGTATCTAGCCCGAGTCTTCCCGAACCTTAGAGCTGTTATAGCGCCCATGAACCGTATATAAACCCAGATCTGTATGTACAAACTCCAGCGTTCAATCGAGATACTCATACCCTGTCTATCCCTCGAGCGAACCTCTCTCCCTCTCGTGACGCGCCACCTACCCCTTCGGGCCAGCGAGCGCGTCATATTTTTGACAGCTAGTCTCTCGACAACAACCATCTCTCACTCTCGTCTCTATCTCTCTCTCTTCCTCGTCGACTGGGCCTCCTCCGAGTCTGATCAACTCGGGACTCCTTTCGACGACCTATATCGCACGTTTCTATTCTCTCTCTTTCTGTTAGCTAACATATTTCGAAAACCCAGACATGTCTATTAGATACAACTCAGACGTCG